AGATGCAAGAACACAGACAGAGAAGCCAGGGTGATACTGCCAGTTACAGGAGTTAGAGGAGGAGCCTAGGAAATGTGGCAGGAAATAATTTGCCCCTGAGGCATGAAGGATATAAAGAGGGCTCTACCGACAGAGAGGGTAGAAGACAGGAGGACTGAGACAGAGGAAGATAGGCAGGGTGCAGGAAAAGAGGAGGAGAAAGAAAAAGATCCACAGGAGGAAGAGGAGGTATAAGCAGCAGTGGGATTCAGCCGGTTCACCAGGTTCTACAGAACCGATACCTAATGTACTATCAGTTCTGCAGAACCGTTTGCTGGACTGCTGAATCCCACCATGGGCGACATCCCCTCCTTCCCCCACCAAAGGGTGCCTGTAGGATCTGGGGAAAGAAGGGAAAAGAGGAGCTGGCACACACACACAAAAATAGATGCCTCTCCCCCCTCCCTTGCAAGGCCTTCTTGCATTGCAGAGCAAGCGGGAGGAGGGTCCCGGTCTGGATTGCACGGTCTCTGGGGAGGAAGGCTTTTGTCTGGGTATTTTTTAAAATATCTCTCTGCAACTCCTTAGCCCCGACCCCGGTCCTGGACCCCCTACTGCTGACCTCCTTGCCGGTCCTCTGGCAGGAAACTCGTGAGGAAGCCCGTCCACCCACCCCCCCCGCAAAGTGGCTTTCCCCCCTTTGATAGCTCTCGGTTTTCCTGAATGGAAAGGGGGCAGGGTGGGAGGTGTGAGAACAAAGCAGGTGGCGCGGATGAGCAGAAGGGGCGGAGCCTCAATGGGGCAGAAACAGGAGAGGGGAGACCCTTGTGGGGGGCAAGAGAGCCTCTTTATTCTTCCTCTTCCCCCCCCCATCAATAGGGTCTGCCAAGCATTTCATGGAAGCCCCCCTTTCTCCTTCTTGGGGGGGAGAGAAAGGGAACCCTTTGCCGCCGCCCCCCCAAAAAAGGTGCCTTAAGGATCTGAGGAAAGAGGGGGGTCTCCTCGCAAAAAAGCACAGAAAGAGCCTGCGTGTCTTGCCGGGGGGGGCAGGATCGAGACCACTCCAACTTCCCATCTACTCCCCTCCCAATTTACACCCCCTCAGAAAAGGCAGAGGAGGAACAGGACGAAATATAGTAGACGCCTCCCACCCACCCCCCTTGCAAGGCCTTCGTGGATTGCAGATCAAGCGGGAGGAGGGGCAATCAAACAGCAATATGAAAATTGCAAAAGTGAGTGAATATGAATCTGGCAGAAGGCATCACAGCTCAGATCTCTAAGTGCCTACTGAGTCCCTAGTGGCTCAACCCTGTGAATGCAGCAGGTCTGACCATGTGCTGGTTTACAGAGATAACATTGTGTATGGAAATTGGCACAAATTTTGGAAGTACTTTTACAGAGACCTGCTGCTTACAAGTCACAGTTCAGTTTATCCACTCAGATGCCTTGTGTCTCCATAGATATTCCACAATAATTTTGCACCACACCCTGAGAGTATATTGCACCATTACCCTTTGCTTTTCATCTGCCATCATCCTGCCCCAAGGCAGGCTTTCCTTCAAAAGCACCAGAAGTTTCAAACACTTTAAATAGCTTGTATCTCACAGCATCATATTGTGAATTTATTGACAAAAAACATGTAGTCCTATATACTCAGGGATGAAAATCAAGATGTACTACTCAATAGTGAAAACTCCCCAAAGAATTTCTTGTTATCTTTCTTGTCTACCAGTTTACAGTCACAATACACTAAGATCGCATACAACATGGATTAGATCCTTGTGCTCTGAATAATGATATTCAACTACTGGTTTACTACCCTGCAATATTTTTTTTTCTGGTGTTGTCCTGTTAGATCATGCATTCAAAATGGTTTTCTTGGTTTTCAGGTAGCATGAAGCATCTGGCTTCAGTCAGCAGACATTAAGGAAGAAGAAATGAACAAAAAATGAGAGTTATGTGATCTACTTCTTAACATGGCTACCTTCAAAGATCATGGAGGATGTGGCCAGTGTTTAAAAATATGTTGCAAAAGATTTTCAACGTCCAGTATGATCAACATTTGAATACAGAGTTGTGGAGGAGAGTGTCATCTCAACCTTGAACAAAAGAAAAAGAGGGGAGGGGAAGAGCCTTTCATGTGGGCTAGCAAAATTGTCTGCTTCACACCTCATCTCCCTTTTCTACAGCCTGCTAGAATGATAGCTGATGATGACAGCTGAGGGATAGGGGAGCCTTGAAGGAGCTGGAATTTTTATCAGATTTTTGCAGGTAAAATGATCAGTGATGTGTTGCCCTCAGTCAAGGCCTCTTTAAGACTTGACAGAAGACTGTTGACAGTCTGTACCATCCAGGGCTATGAGCTCATCTACAGGACTGTTACACCCGTTGTGGCTTCATCCGGGGGTATCCTGAGATCTGTAGTCTGATAAGGCATTTCCAGGCTCGCTGGATAGCTCAGTGGTTTAGGTAACTGGATGTGGCACCTCCAAGTAGAGGCAGCCCTGGGCAAGCTGCACAGATCCAGAATCCCCCTAGAAGAAGGGAATGGCAAACCACTTCTGAGTATTCTCTACCTGGAAAACCCTGAAAAGGGTCACCATAAGTCAGAATTGACTTGATGGAACATCATTATTAAGGCACATCCAGTTCTCTGTTGTAGTTCAGGAGAGTGCACTAGCACCCTCTAGCAAAGAATTTCAAGTATCTCACCAAACTACAAATCCCATGATTCCACAAGATGTGGCCATGACAGCTAACATTCTATCAAACAGCTGTAACTACAGTTTATGATTCACTCAATGACAGCTAAAACTCCTCCTCTAACTCCAGAAGGCATAGATTATTGGGGGGGGGCATATCTACTCTTTATTGATTCTATCAGCCAGGAAGAGGATTGAGTCAGGTATATTTATATTAATTAATTAAATAAGAAGTATATATTTCATACTGTTTTCTTAGTAACATGTTTATATTTTGTCTTTCTGCTAATGAACTCAAGTTGCCATACATGCCTGTCCTCCACACTTTATGCTCAAAACAACCCTCTCGGATTTTTCAGGCTAGGAGAACAAGGCTGGTTCAAGGTCAATCAGAGGACTTCGTTGCTCATTGATGACTGGAATCTGGATATCCCAGGACCCAGGCCCTAACCACTACACTATACTGGCTCTCCTTAGTCACTTTTTGCTTCTATCCACTTTCACCATCTAGACTTGACCACACTAGAAACTCTGCTGGCTTAAATCAGGGTGCACAGCCCATGGACTGCAGTACTCTCTGCAAGTTCTGTTGTCCAGCCACCTGGACTACAACTTGCCATTCATGGGGGAAAATACATTCTGCATTGCCACTGCGGCCAGGAATAGTACTGGGATCATTGTTTTGTTACTGGCCATGGTGGCAGTAAAGCAATTTTCAAAGTAAGATCACTGAAGCAGGGAGGCTTTGGAGTTCTTCCTCCCCCAGTAAGGCCCAAGCAACTGGGTCCACATCTTCAACACTCCGAATGAAGGCATTAAGGCAGTAACCAGGGATCCCAAAGTATTGCAGAAGCTTTGGGTTTAACTAGACCTTAAGGAAAATGTTTATTTCTTCTGTTTAAGTAATTTTCCATTTTATAACAGCTTTCACTCAGAGACATGCTTTAGCACTCATATTTGCAAATTAAGCTCATATGTACCTTCCATGGACTAAACCATAAAACGAAGCACGCTAAATACAGAATTCTTTGTGGAGCAAAATTGCAACAGACACTTCTCACCATCCTTTACTAGGAGACAATGTGAGTACAGTATGCATATCTGAGTGGAGATATGTGTGTGCATGGCTATCAATGTACCAGCTGATACCACACTGTGGTCCTTGGGCCTAAAAATATTAAGCACCTCTGTCCTAAATCTATGCAGACAAGAAAAGATTCCCTTAATTGTTGTCAAATATCTGGAGCTCAGAAGTGTTAAGATCCCTTGAATGCATTGTTCTTATTGCCTATTGCGTAAAAAAAACTGAACAGGTTCGTATTCTATTTTGATGCCAAACAGCTGAAGACAGACTGAATTCTACGCTCTATACAAGAAACTGCTTTCTCTTTTACAAACACCCTAAAAGCAGCTTTACCTTGGACCCCCAGCAAATGTGCTATCATATATCCTATTGGGTTCATGCAACCTGATACACCACCTATATCTGGGAGAGTGATTAACAACTGAGCATATTTAGTGCTATCCTCTTTGAGGGCCCTGGTGCATTTTTAGAATGACAGACAATGCACAAAGGCTTACAGACTCCTTTGATCAGCTCCTGAACAGTTATTAACCATGTGCTCTCTATGCTAATCCAGCCATTTATTTCTATCTAAACTTCCATTCCAAATCAACTTACTTGCTTTCTCTGCAAGCCCAGTCATTCCAGCTGTATAACATCAATTGTGCTATAGTTTTGATGTAAATTAAGAAGCAATATTTGCAATAGAACCTTATGTATATTAAATCAAAGTTTAAAAATGGATTTTAAAGGAGTGGCAATAATAAATGTTGCAACTCCTCTGAGCAGAAGTGGCAAGAACAGAGAAGGTAGAATAGAAAGATCTTTAAATGAGAAATGCAAAGGGTGCAGAATTTCAAATTGATAGCAATGATGTTAGGAAGCCTAGTACATCTGTCAAAGCAAAGATGGGAAATGTGCCCCCAATTGGCTGCATGTTGTCCACAGAGCCTCCACTGTGGGCCCAAGCATCCTCCAATCCCATCTGCGGCCCCTACATACAAATCTTTACAAATTCCCTCCTCCTCAAAAGGCCCTTCACACCCTCAAAGGGCATGAGATGATTTTCATTATATTGTTCCCCAACAGCCAGCTTTAGAAGTTGCTTGTATCTGTATTATATATAGTCTTATAGGTATCTTATACTCCCTACACTTAGCAAAGTGTGATTGGAAGTTCTTATACAGTAAATGCACTAAGATTTGGAGATGCAAGGAATAGCATGTATGGGAAAATGGAAAATAATGAAGTCAAACCTTTCTCAGTACTTCCAAACGATATGTCTGCAACCCGGATCCCATTAGATGTTTTCAGCTTTTCTTTTAAAAAAAGGAACAGCTGGACAATAAAAGAAATTCCCTAGGGAACATGTTGACAACCATCAGCAAAAGTCCAGGAGTGAATAAAAAGACCAAGGTTTCTGTCCTTTTGTTTAGGATGATCAGATACCCCTCCAGAGAAAACCAGCTGCCACCATCTCATTTCCTTTCCAGGCCAGGAGCCTCCAATTCCACCCCAACAGCTCTTGCATTCTCTGCAGCCCTAGTCAGGAGATTCCACTGAGGATGGATGGTATTTTATCAGAACTATTAGGAGGTGAACCAGCAAGTGATAAGGAAGTGTTAAAAGTCAACAGGGACATGCTGCTGATGAAGAATGAAGCTGGGCTTCTGCTCCCTTGGCAGTCTGACATTCCGTAGCTTGATGTGTTCTGAAGGAAGCTTTCTCAAAGAACTCAATTCAAACTTATCCCTTCAGGGATGGGTTGGCATTTTTTTTTTAAATCCAAAAAATATAAAAAATTAAATTTCCATGTGTGGTTGGGTGTAGTTGGTGTTCACCAGAATCCTGTTACTTACACCCACAAGTGAAACTCTAAATGTCACAATTTTCCAAGGTGAAATGCTTCTACTCAATAAGTAATCACTTGCTTTTTTAGGTTGTTGTTTTTTTTTGTTGCACAGGTATTGCATAACTTGGCATGTGAGAAGAACAAGCACTGACTTCTTAACTAGCAGCAATTTGACACTAAAATTTACACCATTGGAGTTACATTGCCCACTTATCCTGGAACAACCACACGAGACGAGGTACATGGGTTAAATGTGGGCCACACTTTATTAATGTTAGTTCATTTTCATGAACATGCCAATCTTCTGGGAAAATGGGGAGGGGGGTCGTGCTGTAGTGCGAATTCAAATTCTTTGCTGGGTATTAGGTTGGCTATCGCCCAGGTGCAAGGCTGGGCTCAGGCCTCAGTTATCCCTTTGTTATCGACCTGGAATAACTGACGGCCACAGAATTTCTCCAGAGCCCTTCCTCCTCCCTGTGCCATCCGGGGTCCGGGATTGTCCCCAGCGCATCTTGACCTCCCAGCACTGCGGTTGTGTGCCTGGGCGTGCTACTGGTCGAGATGCGCTGGAATTTGTTGCCACTGCCCAAGAATCCAATATCCAGTACCTTTGAATCCGCACTACCCGCCACAGCCATGGGAATAGGCTCATAGAGGACAATGGGGAATCGCCCCTTTAAATGACCTCCAACTAGCCCACACCCCCTTGGCCATCCTTGGATTCAGCCCCTCAACGTCACGCGTTAATCCAGGCAAGTCGGCAAAGCCACGCCTCGATAATTGGATCCCTTCGGTCTCTCTATCGGCGTGACCATTGGCATTAAATATGTAACAGGATTCTGGCTGTCATTTTTAAGTGAAAGTACAGATATCACGTAATTAGGCTAGCAGTGTACAGCAAGCTAGTAAGGTGAGTTTAAGGCTATGAATTAGGAATAATCACTCAGAATGTTCATGGTAAGGTATAAGGAAACTATTACATTCACTGTTCTGATAAATACAGGATAAAACCTATACTTGAATACAGAAATGCTGAGAGTTTGCTTCTATGTCTTCACGAATGTGAAAAACCCAACATGGAGGCAGCCTCTTGGATTGTCTTCAACAGCAATGTAAATGCAGAATAAAGCTCCTAATCTCTAACAGATTGTGTGTGCATGCAAAACAGGGAGATGCCTCTTTCCTTTACCACATGATGCTTTCCCAAAGATTTAGTGTTTCAAACCTCATCCTTGCAAAGGTCAATTAATGGAGGGGTGCCTGAAGGCATGTGTGATTCCCACATGAACTGGAACCAAAACTATACATACATTCAATATATTCTGCCTGTACTCTTGCAGCAGCCTGGGGGTGGGGGGTGGGAGGGGGGATTTTTCAGAGTCATGCAGGAAAACAGATATTTTGGGCCATCTGTAGCTGCTGCTTCCATCTCCAAGAGGTTTGTGGTCTAGTCCAGGGTGCAAGTCAGAGGCTGGAAATTGGTACTAACACATTTGTGGTATGCAAGACTTCCAGCAGGGCATTCCTTTCTCACATCCAAAACTGACAGTTTGGCAGCCCTGTTTCACAGGTGGTTATTCTTTGGACATAATATAGGGTCTTTCAGTGTTCTTACCCCTTTTCTTTAACCTGGCACCCAATTGCACTATCAGGACTAAATGTCTGGGTCCTGTTGCTTAGAGTAGTAAGTAGAGTACACCCATTGAATCAGTAGGGATTTGGTGAGTCAACTTTATTGCTGCTTGAAAAGATGTTTGAGTACTATAGGCTGCCAGAAATGGCTTGGCGTAGCCATTTTTCACACACCTCTCATCCACAGAAGGTCATTTTTGTGCTCTTTCTTTAGAGGACAAAATGCAATGAGTAGGATTTGACCAAATGGGAGAACAACATTTCATCAAGCTATTTAAATGAAAGTTATTTTTATCACTTTTCCAAATGTTTGTTGGAAATCAAATGGGTCAACGTGTCCTGCTAGCTTCCTACTAGCTCATGGAAATATTTTGCTATGGAGAAAATTCTTGGCCATTATTATTTTTTTAAGAACCAGGTGATTTCAAAATGATAGCAATATGCATTAAAATGGTAGTCAGGGTAGCTTTTACCTTCAAGAGTCAAGAAAAAGCAGCACCAGTCCATTGCAACCTGTGTTTTTAGACTGACCATGTTGTTGTTCAGTTGTCTCAGCTCAGAGCAAACAGATTTAAGTTCAAAAATAAAACACAGGATTGAGCCTGGATCACATTCTTGACACATGATCAGAAACCTATAAAACCCAAAAAGGATATTGTTTGCATTTAAAAGCAGTCCAGGTGCAGAACCATGATCTGACGCAGCCAGAGCCAGACCAAGATATTTGACTGCTTGAGGTAAAAGCCAAGATGGTGTCATCACTTTTTTTTGTCTCCAAATCACATATAGAAAGTAACTGCACTGGTAGCTTAGTCTTATTAAAACACTGGTGAGGAGGTTGCATATATGTGATACAATGATTGTCTTCCAACAGAGTGAACAGCTTGGACGTTCAGAAGCAACACCTGGACACTGCCATCTCTATCACTTGTATTTTCTTCCTGTGGATGTCACCTCATTTTGTCTAATGACAAGGGCATCCTTGGATGCAGTCAAAAGAACTAGAACTTCTTAAGGGATTCAGATGTAACTATGGTTCTACACAGATACTGTACTTTTACTCTGGGTGATGTTGCTCAGAGGAGTTCTAATAATAATCACCTATAACCGCATTCATTCAGTTAAAAGTGTTGGCTAACAAATCATCATTATCTTGCACAAAAGGAAGAAGCAAAGAAAGAGAAGGCCATGCTAATCCATGGTGTGGAGGGAAGAGACAGCAATACCTCTACTAGAGCTAATCAAACACCACAGAAGTATATAAAACTTTAAAGTTCACACACTTCTGTGATTGTCCTAATAAAGCCATTGCAGAAATGTGGATTGGGGTTTAATATCTCTCAGGAAAATAAACTATTGCTGGGACAGAGTCAGATGAAACACACTAGAGAGATTACTAGTATTGGCAGAGACAGAGGTGACAGTTTGAGTGTTTTCTGGTCTCAAAAATTGACAATATTGCTAATCAAATGAAAACATCTCAAACAATAGAGATCTTGTAGATAGAGCAAAACTGCCCAAACTCCGGCTAGGCAGGATATTGATTAGAAGGTCATTCTTTATTGCTCTACTATTGTCTAGTTCACTACCTCCTGCCGTGGGAAACTAGCAGATCTCGTTTATTGTTAAATGCCTTCTTATCAACAAACCACACATATGGGAACTAAAGATAGGTAGGCCTTATAGAAGAAAGCTTTTTCATTATACATACATTACTGATGTGCTACTTGTTTGTTTGGGCTACGTAGTTTACCCCAGACAAGTGTACAAGCTCAGTTCTTCATCTCCTAAAAATATGGTCTAAAACAAAACATACATGGACTTTAATTATTATTTTTAATTACAAGCAAATATAAACATAATGTTACATGTCTCCTATTTTCCGACAGAGAAATAAAAGAGATACCCATACATAAAGCATCTACAGTATATTGAATGCACATCCACTTTTCAGCTACCATCCTGGCCCTTCCGGATGAAAATCAAGGATAATTTTTTCCAAAACATCTGTAAATCCTCAAGGAACAGCAAAGATGCTAAGACTGAATAAAGAAGGAAAGAACTACCTACATATTAAAGTGGATGGAACTCCAGGAAAGTCTAAACCCCTCCAGCCAACCATTGCACGGAAAACAGGATTGCTAGGAAGTTGCTTCATAGGCTACAGATTGGAGGTGGCAGAACCAAAGTGAATTTAGATGGGGTTTTTGCACTGGCACAGTCCTTTACAAGTGAGGAGAAGATTGAATGACTTCACACTGATGTTACTAGACTCTGTGCCACTCATCATATAATATGATTGCCCCAAATACTCTTGATGTTGCCCATGATTGCATGAATATTATTTGATGCATTTATTAATTCTACTATAGTACTTCGGACACAAAGATTTAAAAAATCTCCCCCTCTAAACATATTTAAAACAGAAAACAAGACTTAACAAACATTTCCTGAAAGCAACAAGTGGATCTGTTTCAGAGTCAATTCCATGCAAAAGCATATCACAACCTTATTCAACATGATGGCCTCCAACTGTACTGACAACTGCCTTCAGTCCCAGACAAATTTACCATTTACCATTAACACTTCCGCAAGTGAACAGGTTGTGGGGAAAATGGCATCTTTCAAATAACACAGAACTCATTGTCTGGTGAACATCACATTCAGTATAAGTCCCATTAGAACCCCACAGGGGGGATTTCTTTCCATAGAAAGGTCATTGCATTGCATTTCATGAGAAAATAGGATATCTCACTGCAGGAAATAATTTACAGGGCACTCCTATGTACGTCTACTCAAAAGCAAGTCCCACTGAGCTGAGCATGGCTTACTCCCAATTAAGTATGCATAAGAGTCTAATTTGGAAGTCTAATTGCTAAATCAGCTAACAGTCTTA